ACGGCAGAACTCGATCGATCAGCGGAGAGAGAGCTAGAGAGAGAGGGAGAGGAAGAGACAGATTATCTTTGACATTTGTCTTGGATACGTTTGCATACATATGTTATATGTGCATGTATGTGATTAATATGCATGATGCGAGGGCCTCGAAGTCGCTCCGAATTTCAAGAACAGACGCCGCATGTTTAATTCACCTGCCCAATGTCATACCCAAGCCCCCTTTTTCCCCTGCCGCCCATCAAAAACAAAAATAAAAAAAAAAGAAAGAAAAAAGCAGCGAAGAAATAAAAAAACAGCTAAAATTGAAAACAAACCGAACTCAGGTCGAAAAATTTACTTGACTACAGCCCGTAGCTAAGTAAATACTGTCGAGAACATGTCGAATATATTCTAGCTAAGGGTCTGATGCACTAGCGTATACCCTGTGAACTTGAACTACGCACAGCTTCTTCTTCTGCTTGCCTTCATTCCCAGAAGAACATATTTCGACTTGGCTATTTTTGTTCAGATCTGGCAAATATATAGCCATATATAAAATATGTCTTAAGAAACTTATTTTCAAAAACTTTCTAAACATACAAATAGAAAAATTGTTGAAAATTTGTAGCTTATTTATTTTGAATTAACAAGAAAATGTATAGAAAATATTATTTGTATTACTTAAAGTTGTCTTGAAAAAAGTAAACTGAGGGCAGACTGCTGCTCAACCAAAAGATACCCCTTGACTAAATAGCTAGACATACAGGGTATATTTAAAACATGCGCAGTTTTAAATAGTTTCAATTTCGGTTTCGGCTGCGCAGGTGCTAAAAAAAAAAAACAACGTCTCTGCCGGCGTCGCAGCCAGCTTGAGAATGACACAATTCGCTCTCAGTTGCGGCGAATTCGCGGGCAACGGGCGAATTCTCGTTGCGCGATTCTCGGCTCGCAATTGGGTCGCCCACTTTTTGTTATGCATGCAACGGAATTGAATTGAAATGAATTTGAAATAGTTATAAATAACGACTGACGCCAAAAAATGACCGAAGCCAGACAATTAAAGCCCCAGACTGCAGGCCATTTCCTCAGCAAATTGAACTGATTGTCAATGTCAAATGCCAAATGCCAAATGACAGATGCCAAAGTGCCAGATGGCACTTGTGCGCGGCCAGATGGCGCACTGGTGCGTGTCGCTGTCAACAGGTGTCGCTGCAGCCGATCCGACCAAACGAAAGCTTGCACTTTTATATCGATCGACATTCGCAGCTGCTGCGTTCCGATAAGAACAAGCGATTGCGGCCTGCACGTACGAGTGCAGCCAGTGAAATGTTTGCGAACGCGACAGAAAAATGAATTTCATTTAATTAACTGCTATCAAACGAACCATCGCTTAACTAAGATAAGAAGAGTGGAAGTAAATATTCTGCATCCATAAACTAGGTATGCGGCCAGTGCAACGTTTGCGAATAGAACAGAAATACAATTGATTGCTAAATAACTCTTGATGGTGTTATGTTTAGACGTTCAAGGAGGGTAAGAGCGACAATGATAAGAGAGCTTTTCGTTGTGATAGTTAGCGCTACAGAGAGCAAAAGTAAGAGGGAGAGCAAGAACTGTTAGCAGCCAGTAAAACGTTTACGAATAAAATTGAAGGCTCAATAACTGATGAAATAGTTGTGTTTAGGCATTTGAGGAGGAAATGGATTTGTGAATACAATGCAAGAGCTTAAAGTTATTATTGCAGATAGAGAGACAGAGAGCTAATGTAAGAGCGAGAGCAAGAACTGTTAGCAGCCAGTGAAACGTTTACGAATGCCAAATAAGGAGGAATTGAAATATGCGATTGCTGTTGTTTAAGTAAACGTATGAGCTTGTAAACTAAAATTTACACTTATCAACTCTCTCACTCTCTTTCTCTCTCTCTATCCCTCTCTCTCTCTCCCCTCCCCCGCACTGCGTTGCAGCCCCTTCCGCTAGCTGAGCAGCATTCACTTCCTTGCGCTGTCTGAAGCATGTTCGTTTTTAGCGACATTCGTTCGACGCTTTGATTCAATTAAATTTTAATAAATTTTAATTTCAATAGCAAAAAGATTTCTTTTTTGCTTTTATATTCGTTTTTGTTTAGTTTTTTTTTTTTTTTTTTTTGGCAAACAACAATTATATGCATAGACGAAATATACAAAATAAGTCTGACCTCCAAAGCTGACACGACAGCTCACAAAATGAACGGCGAAAAAAAAACTATAATAAAAAAAAAATAAAAACAAAAAAAAAAATAATAATTTATCAGCATTTGCGGCAACTCGCATCAACAAAATCTCGCACGTCACGTCATCATCAGCAGCAGCTGGAGGAGCAGGAGAGAAGCTGAGGGGCAGAGTGAAGGCGCCTGCAGTCGACGTCGCTGTCGGCGTCAACAGGTTGCCGCTGGCAGCGGAGGTGCGACGACGGCGACTTCAACTGGTTATCAAGAGCCGCTTTTTAGAAATTACGTCATTTGGCATCGTCGCTTGACGAGGCGGCGTTTCAAGACGCTGCTCCAGAGTCTAGACGCTGGCATCAACGCTAACGTCAACGTTAACGTCCACGTCAGTTCCTGGACAAAAGTTGCACTTTTTTCGCCTTTCCCAACGCGGCCACACTGTTAGAGCTTATAATACCCAGCCCATACCCTAGACCGCGACAGCTGGCTCTCATCATCTTTAGTCTAAAAAAAAAAAAAATTGATGTGATTTTTAGTGAAAGCTACGCTTCGATTTCTCTGCTGCTTCCTTTTAAAGCAGCGTCTACTGTGTTAAGAAAAAACCCAACCAAAAATAGAATCGAATGTTTGCCATAAAATAATCTTTAACTGCAACAAAACAGAATATTTTATTCAGCTCATAAATTAGCTACCACGGGCTATTAATTCTTAGCTTTTGGAGCTAGTTTACCAGTTACTTTAACATGCTGGTTTGCTTGTCAAAATTTAGCAGTCAGTTTAATTTTCAACGAGACACCAGTGCGGCCACAATGTCTAGTAAATTGGGCAGCACTGCATATTGTTTGTAGATCTTAACGAAGTTGTCTAAAAAGCCTTCGTTGAGTTCGTATCAGCCACCGTGCCAGACAGCTGGCTGAAATTGGTTACAATCCACTGGAAATTTCCAGCTGTTTTCGCTGGAATTGAAAACTATTCAAAAGTGTATAAGTTAAAAGAATTTAACAATTATATGGGATATTTGTTAAAAAGCAGAAAAATATACTATATAAATATGTAATAAATATAAGTAGGTAATAAATATGCATAAATGTAGAGAACTGGAACTGGAAATATGCACTTGTTTTCACTGGAAATCGAGCTTAAAAATTTGCTGAAAATTTTGCATTTAGTGACTCGACTAGAAATATATAAAATTAATGGGATAAATTGCACAAATATGAGCACAAAATATTTGAAGAAATTATCAATAATTTTTCCACTGGAAGTTCCACTGGAATACGTGATGACAAAATGCATTTTGTTAAATGAAAACCTCCAGACTTTATCTAGAATTGTGGAATTATTAATGAATTCAATTGTAAATATGATTTATGATGTTTTAGAAGATATATATATATATACTTATATTCCATACTTTGTTGACTGAGGTTCTTGGGTCGACAGTCAACAGTCTTACCTATAAGCAGCTAAATTTAAAACGGTTAACAAAGCATTTTTTTTTTTTGTTTATTATTATTGTTGTTGTTGTTGGTTTTCGTTTGCCATTATTGTTAATACATGTGTTATTTGGCATGTTTTCCGCTTTCGATTTTGTTTTGTTGTTTCGAGCTTTTGGCAGTTGCCGGTGATATCACCGCGATTTTAGTGAATTTGTTTGGCCATGTTCCACCGCCATCCGAAACACGTCAAGCCCGAGCAAACCAGTCGTTTATAATTCACTTATAATTATGAGTCGAAGAATCTGTTGACATGTTGTCAAATCGTATGTATATCAATGGGCCTGGCCTCTGTGTGTCCACTTATCGGTCAGCACAATTTGTGTTTACGTTCTTGGTTTTTTTATTTATTTATAAGCGAAGCGTCATTTTCTGATAGGCCTCCAAATGAAGCACATATTTCCAGCCGATAAGACATCGATAATCGTCGATAAGTTTTATCGAATAATTTCTGGAAATTCTCATAAGTTCCATATTCGTTCCATAACTCAGCTTGAGCTTGAGCTTTGTTCTGGAAATTTGTTATATGGGCAACCGGTTTGAGTTTAAATGTTGGAGTTTTGCTCGATATTTGTTTATTGCTGCTCAAAAGAAATTGACCGGCATTGCGCGGTTCAAATTAATTTTGGCTTCAATTGAAAGAAAAAAGAAAAACCTGAATTCTGTTTATTTTCGCAATAAATAGAAAAATTATAAAAAAAAGCTAAATAAATAGATAATTGCTGCTGGATTTGAACCGGCAACCTCTCTCTTGTTAGTCGCATTATCCAAAAGTAATTTTTCATGAGAGTAAAACGTGCATTTAAATTGCAAATGGAAATGTTCAGACATATATCAAGATATCGTTTAGATATAATAAGAGAATAAGTATTGCAAAAAAACAGTTAAAATATCTTAAGCAAATGCACAATGCCCGGACATAAAGAATAGTTAAATCTGTGATGTGGGCCGATGAAATGCTGTTGCACGGAACAAACGAGAGTCTTCCAGCTCATTAGAGGTTAGCTTAGGCCGGTTGTATTGCATTTAGCTGGTACATATATCATTTATAAGGCGTTGGTTGTGGAACAAACATTGGCTGACTCACCGAACCCAATCGCCCGCTTAGCCTCAAGTCGTGTTTATGAGTCTGGCTGACTGTCAGCTAATTGGCGGCCAGTGCGAGGAGGCGTCAAACGCGTCCATAAAAGGCGCGTTTTGGCTCGAAGTGGATCGCATGTGTGGGTTACGTGGCGCACTCGTAGCCGGTTCAATTAGTCCAAGGACGCAGCAGAGGCTTTCGAGATTTTTCACTAACTCTTATGCCAATTGTCTAATTGCAGTGGCAGCAATCGGAGGACAGCGAACGTAAACGTCAAATCCGTACGCATCTCTATAAGCTACGCGAGTCGCGTCTGAGGAATCTCTATAGGCACGAACCGGATAGCATAGCATTCGCAATGTCTGAACCGAATGGCAATACTCTGTCCGGCTTTGGCAAGGATCCGCTGGCCACCAGCCATGGTGATGCGCTGCTGGACCAGAATTTCCAGAGCCTCAAGTCGAAGGAGGTGCGTGATTCGATCAGTCCCACGCACGAGCTCAAGTTCCATTCGATGAGCCTCACCCAGCCGAATAGCACCGGCTGGGATGTGCAGACCTCCTCGGAGGTGAGTCCCGATGGACGCGCCTATCGCACCGAGACGCTGGCCAAAACAGATGGTAAGTCCATTTTGTGTAATTGAAAACTAATCCCGTTTTTTTTTTGTACCCTGTACCCAATCAAAATAATACGAATATAGTTTAAGAAGACGACTTATCGAACCACCCGTTTATTTAACCGTTCTTCCATCCATCCGAATGGAAGTCCTTGCGTCGACCCTCCGCCCTTCCATGTGTCCGTCTGTTTCTACATGCCTGATACTAAAAGAGCTAAAGACTTTAAATAAGAAAAGCTTATCAATATTTATCCGTTCTTTCATCCATCCGAATGGACGTACGTTCGTCGATCTCCTCGGTCGACCGTCCGATCTTCCAATCCAGTCTTTCAATAGGCATCGATAAGTATCGGTATGCAGCCGTCGTTCTAGGGGGACTTATAGGGACTTTCCCTTTGGACTTTCTGGGGTAACGTTTCTGGGTACAGGGTATGTGCTGGTCGGGCACTTTCGACTAGAGCACTTTCACCTATTTGTGTTTCTATCTGTGTGTAACTCCTACTCTGTTTGTTTGTATGTCTCTGTGCCGTGATCAACCACCAAACTACCCAACTACCCACTACCAAATCTTAACTCCAACTCCAACCCAACAACACCACGAACACCAACACGATCCATCCATGTGACAGGTGTTGAGAAGCTGAATGGTGGCGGCACTGCCGAGTTCAAGGGTCGCAATGAGCAGCGCTCGAGCGCTTCGCATCAGGGCGACGACAAGAACTATGTGAAGCAGGCGGCCGAGAGCTCCAATACGCATCTCCAGGAGAAGGTTGTCTATGGCGACGAGAGCGCCGGCGGACGCACCGAAACGAAAATGAGCTCCACCACCTCCTCATCGAGCTCCAAGTTTGTCTCATCCTCCACTGTCGAGTATGGGGATGATGATGCCGCTCAGCCGCGCTATCTGCTGGACAGCCAGACGACAAATCGTCAGCAGCAGCAGCAACAGCAGCGAGAGCAGCGTGAACAGCGCGAGGTGCGGGAGCAGCGTGAGGTGCGCGAGCGCGAGGAGCAACGTGTGCAGGAGCAGCGTTTGCAGCAACAGCGCGAGGAACGCTACTCGGAGAGCCGGGAGCAATCGAAGAGCACCCGCAACGTGGAGACACAGCAGCACTACGAGGAGAACAAGCATTATGTGGACATGGACAAGGCATCTCCGGAATATCAGCGTCATGTGCAGCATCTGATGTCGCAGCCAGGCGAGATTATCTCCAATACGGTTGAGTATCCCAAGCCCAATGTCAAGATGATTACCACGGTGAAGCGTCTGCCCGACGGCACCATTGTCAAGAACAAGCGCTACGAAACCGAGCAAGTGTCTCCCAGCGCGGAGACGACGCGCCAGACCCAAACCCAGACCCAGACCCATAATCAGTCACAGGTAAACAATCAGCGTCGCACACAGGATGTGCACCACCAGCATCAGCATCAGCAGACCCACAGCCGTGGCGAGCCGCGCGATGTGGTGGACAATGCGGAACCGTTGCGTCGACCCGCCGAGGCCGAGGAGCTCATCAAGCAGGAGAGCTATTCGTCGGTCAAGAAGTCCAGTCGTCGCTTCTCCACTGAAACGACATCGGAGACCGTCGAGGAGTATGATGATCGTGCGCCCAATCAGCCTGCACAGCAGCTGAAGGCGCCGTCTCCGGCACGCCAGGATTACAGCATGCACGGCTTTCCCAGCAAGCCGATCCAGGAGTTTCCCAATCAGCGTCCGACAACGCCCAGCCGTCAGCCGGCAAGCGATTTCTCCACGCACGGCTTTCCCTCGGTGCGCGGCAATAAGCCCACCCAGGAGTTTCCCAATCAGCGACCCACCACCGAGGAGGTCGTAGTGATCAAGTCCGAGAAGAGTCGCAATGTCAAGCAGAGCAGCAGCTCGCAGCGCACCGTCGAGACGGAGTACGTTGATGAAGGGCATGCGCCCTTGCCGTTGGCGGCTGGACCAACAGCCACGCCCAGCTGGGAGCAGCCGGCCAGTCCGCGACGGGCACCCGTCGAGGATTTCAGCACGCACGGCTTTCCCTCGGTGCGCAGCTCACGGCCCGATCAGCCCGATGCCGAGATAGTGCATCAGAGCAGCACGAGCGCCGTTAGCCGCAAATCGGAGCGCATCATCGAGACCCAGGTGGAGCAAGACGATCTGGAGCCGCAGCCGGAGCCGCTGCAGCAGCAGCGTCGTCGTCCACAGCCGCTGAACGCCCAGCCGCCGGCCAGTCCGCGTCGCACGCAGCCGCGCGACGAGTACAGGGAGGTTAACCAGGGAGGTTATCCCGCGGCTCGATCGCCCACACGCGCGCCGGCCAGCAAGTCGCCGCCGCGCAGACCGAGCGCCGGCATACGCACGCCCACACGCAACGCTCCGGAGTCGACAACAACAACCACCACAACAACGACCACGGTGACACGTCGCCAGCTGCAGAAGGAGCGCGAGGTGGATGCAGCGCATCGTGCGTTTGCCGCCTCGTTGCGCAGCAGCTCGCCGGCGGAGAGCGTCGGCTCGACCGGGTCGCATCATCCGCATCATTCGCATCATTCGCATCCGGCACATGGGCGTCGCGATAGCGGACAAACGGAGCAACAGCGTCAAACGCCACGGTCGAGCATCTCGTCGAGCCGCACATTTAGGCGCGACGGACGCGAGGGCTCCCATGACAGCCATGCGCCGTCCGAGTCCAGTCGCATCAGCTCGACGACGGTGACACGCCATGTGGGCGTGCCCACTACCAAGAGCGTGGGTAAAACACTCGTTACCAAGCAGCAGCAGCAGCAACAAGCTGCTGTGAAGACCCGTAACGTTCAAGGTTCTAACGAAACAATCGATCTTATGCCGCAGCGTTCGCCCAAATCGCCAGCAGCAACGAAATCCACAACAATAACAGCAACGACCACAACCACGATTGGCAATAAGCCAACAGCCGGCGGATCAGCATCCCCAGCTATCACACCCACAACCCCAACAATTCCGACAACCCCGACAAAGCCCACAGCCGCAGCTCCAACAACTCCAACAGTTCCAGCCGTTATTCCCACAGCTCCAGCTAGCGAGACGCCAATTGTGTCAGGTACGAATTAGACCAACTCACACACAGAAAAACACAAACATATAACATACACACACAAACATATATATATATAAATATATATGTATATATATATATATCTATCTATCTCGGAAATTCCTATGTATATGAATGTATCCTTCAGATAACCAATCACAGTATACGTATGCTACTACTAAGCCAGCCGATATATTCTCTTTGCCACCTACTCCTACAACACCTACCATTAACAACAACAACAACAAGAACAACAACAACGCAACAACACTAACAATCAACAACCAGAACCAGAACCAGAACCAGAACCAGAACCAGAACCAGAACCCTTCCATCGAAGACAAGCCCAACGAATTGTTAACTAAAACCAAGCTGAGCTCAAATGAGGCAACCACATCCAATCCATCTGGCGCCGTGCTTGAGCCAACCTGTGTGCGTCGACACTATTACAAGCTGGGTCCGGCCGCCGATGCGGATGCGGCTCAAAACGCGGCTCAAACCGAAGCGGCCAGCATTGCCAAGGCGGTGACAAGTACTGAAACCGTTGGTAAGGCCCAAAAGGCAACAACAGCAACAACAACATAAAATCTAAATCAAATAAAACACAAACCACAAATCGAGCAAGCAACTATTACTTCAACTTCTTCTACTTGCAACCAAACACCGTTTTTTGTTTGTTTTTTTTTTTTTTTTTAATTTATATAGAGAAAATTTATTTTTTGAAACTATCTTTACTACACGTAATATTTTAAACATATTTCTTTGGAACTTTGCTAATAAAAACTGTTTTACAATATATCAACAAAAAAAAAAAACCCAAAAAAAAACCAAAACAAAAACCTGCGAATGTGATATGTTCTATGGCAATACACGCACACACGCACACACACACACACACACGCACGCACACTTGGTACACATAGTTTATTGGGCGGGCCTAGACCAAGTATTCCAAGTATTCCAAGTATGCCAACTAATAATATTTGTGGAAACGCGCCTATTAACAGAATATATGCCTCTGCCTGATCTAACACGCCTGAAGCCAGATTCAACACCGCCTCGCCTAACCTCGTAGAGCAATTAACCCACAGTAGACAAATAATCAAAAATAAAAACAAAGGAACTCTTTTGGAGGTATTTCTCTTCTTCTGGTAGCCTGTTGTAGTCGTCACTAATACTCTATTAACGTTGCGTTTGAGCACAAGACACACGCACACGCCACAAATTGTTCGTTGAGCGCGGCCCGTTAGCTTATGTGTTGACTCCACCCAACCCGCAGACACGCCCAACAAGAGCCGACCTTATGCACCCAGACCCAGCAGCGATGCACCTTATCGCACACACAGCAAGCCCCAGCACAGCACTCGAGACGATGAGCCGACTCCGGCAAGGCGCAGCTCCAAGTCGCCCAGCGTCGAGCGACGTCAGCTGCAGCGGGAGACAACGTTTGAGACTCCGTTGGAGCGTGAGTCTTCGCCGGTTCGTCTCGCTCAGATCGATGATCAGATTGTCATCGATGAGAGCAGCTTGGAGTTTAGGCAGCGCCAAACGAAAGGTAATGATAATAGGCCCAGGGACCTGCCACGTCAGAGTCCCGAGAAGATACCGGCGACATTGCCCTCGAGGCCTCGCCAGAGTCCCGAGAAGCAGTTACCCTCGAAAGCCAGACAATCGCCACGTTCCGGTAGTCCCGAGAAGTTGCCAGCAACTCTTCCCAAGGAATTGCCACGTTCTGGCAGCCCCGAAAAGCAGCTGCCCAGAGAATCGCCACGTCAGACGCCGGAACAGCTGCCAGCTGCATTTCCCTCAAAGCCTAAGGAATCGCCGCGTCGTAGTCCCGATAATCAGCCCAGAGAATCGTCACGTCCGAGTAGCCCCGAAAAGCAAATGCCAACTAGACCTAAGGAGACGCCACGTTGGAGTCCCGAAAATCAGTTACCATCGACAGTGCCCAGAGATTCGCCACGTCAAAGTCCTGAGAAGCAGCTACCAGGCACGGTGTCCAAGGAATTTCCACGTTCGAGTCCCGAAAAATCGCTACCATCAACAACTCCCAGGAGCGCACCACGTCCCGGAAGTCCAGAAAAGCAGCTGCCAAAGGAGCCAAGTCCTGAAAAGCAATTGCCTAAGGAGTTGCCGCGTCAAGCCAAGGAGCCCAGTCCCGCAACCCAGTTGCCGGCCTCGGCTTCAACTAAGCCCCGAGATGCACCTAAGCCAACTGCCGACAAGCAGTTCCCAGAGGATGCGTTCTTTAGAAGCACTGTGACCCAACGATTGACCAATACAACGAAGAACCTTAACGAAGAATTCATAACGAACGAGCGTCAGCCTCAGGCTCGCAAGCCCCAGGATAACCAACCCGAAAATCCCGATACCCAATTGCCCAAAAGTTCAAGGCCCAAAGATGAAGATATGATTGATAGATCTAGCTATAAGCCCGCAACAGGCAAAACTCCCGAGACATGCGAAACACCCGAAATACCGGATGGTGGTTTCATATCGAAGAGTCCAGAGCCGGAAGAAGATCAAAAGCCCACCTACCGCAAAAAGGGCCTGACCCGTCGGGAGACCTTTGAAGATCGTTGCCGCAAAATCTTGGGCATGGAGGAGGATGGTGATACGCAGGGAAACTACGTGCCAAAACCTGAAGATGATGATGACGACAATGACACGGATGAGCAGAAACAATCAACTGTGGTCAAGCAGACGGAGACCTTTGAGTTTAAGATAGAGGATTGTCCCGATGATGATGATGAGGATGACAAGCCCAGGCAAGTGACCGAAACCTATGTGATACGTACACAGCCTGTTATCAAAGTCGAGGAACCTCTGTCTGAACCGGAGAGCCAGTTGCCCCAACGCAGCGAGTTGACGGTGGATATTACGGAGTCAGAGGAAATTGAAACGCTCGTCAATACCGAGAAAACAACGGGAAAAAAGGTGCCCAGGCCAGTGGATGAAGAAGTACCACGTCCTGCTGGTGGCCGAAAGCCCAAGGACGGGCCAGAGTCAGAACCCGCTGCTGGTAGACACCCTGAGGCTGTGAATCCACAGCGTCCATCACTTAACAGGCAACCAAACGATGACGCTGAATTCGTTAATGTAGAAGAAGAGACAACAACAATTACAACGAAACGCTCATCTAAATCGCCTTCGTCTACCCGTAAAGGCTCTTTGCCCTACCCGGAGGATGAGGTAGAGTCACGTCCCACAGCTGGAAGATGGCCTCATGATAAGGTAGAGCCACGTCCTAAGACTGGCAGACAGCCTAAGGATGAGAAGCCACAACGTCCATCAACTAGCACTCTTTCCAAGAAGGAGACAGAGTTTATAAATGTTGAAGAAGCGACGACCATAACAACTCGCAAGGAACCTTTGCCCTACTTAGAGGACGAGGAGGAACCTAGACCCACAGCTGGTAGACAGCCCAAGGATAAGGTTGAGCCTCGTCCCACAACTGGTAGACGGCCATTGGATGAGGAAGAGCCGAGTCCTAAGGGTGGCAGACAGCCGAAGGACGAGCGACCACAACGTCCGGCATCTGGCAGACTTCCCAAGGACGAAGTCGAGCTTTTAAATGTGGAAGAAGAGATTACGACAATTACTACCAAGCATTCTCCGAAGTCTCCATCACCGGCTAGCAAAGAGCCTTTGCCTTCAGAGGATGAAGAAGAACCAAGTACAACAACCGGTTGGCTTCCCAAGGATGACGCAGAGTTCGTAAATGTGGAAGAAGAAACGACAACAACGAAGCGAACATCAAAGACGCCTGTTACCAAGTCACCTTCACCCAGACGCAAAGAGCCCTTGCCTTATCCGGAGGATGACGAGGAACCACTTTCCGGTAAACGTCCGAAGGGTAAAGAGCCAACACGTCCGGTAACAGGAAGTCAGCCAAAGGATGAGACAGAGCCACGGCCAACACCTAAATATTATTCTGAAGACGTCGAGTTCATAAAAGTGAGCGAAGACACAACCATAGTGGTCACGAAGCGTCCTCCCAAGTCACCGTCGCCCACTCGCAGGGACTATTCGCCGTACCCAGCGGATGAATTGCAACCCTCACCTGGAAAGCAGCCTAGGGATGAGAGAAAACCAAGCTCCACAGCTGGTAAACCGACTAAGGTTGAGGAAACACCACGTACCGCATCAGCTAGGCGGCCAAAGGATGATAAAGAGCCGCGGCCTACACCTGGCAAACAACCCAAGCCCGAGGCGCCTAGCAGGCAACCCAAGGACGACGCAGAGTACATTAGCGAAACGACGTCTGTGGTCATAACAAAGCGTCCCTCCAAGTCGCCATCACCCACACGCAGGGAACCTCTGCCTCAAACGGAGACAAAGCATTTTGTGACCGAAAAGATCATCGATTGCAATGGCAAAACAGTGGTGGAAAAGATCAGCAAGACCCAACGACCCAGCGGGCCCACAGCAGGACCCAAGGCGAAGAAACAACCGAACGACAGTGAACCGGAGGAGTCACAGCCCAAGCAGCCCGATTCCAGGAAGCCGTCAATCACCAAAACTGAAACCGAGCGACGAAACTCGCGCACAACAAAGAGCAGCAGCACCACGACCACCAGCAGCACCACCAGCAAGCAGCCCCTGAGGGAAACGCAGCCCAAGACGGTCAAGAGTCCACGCAAGGAGTCGCTGCCAAGGCGTGAGCCCGCCAAGCGCGATAGCCTGGTAGAGGAGACTCGCAGCTCAACAACAACAACAAGCACAACGGCACGCAACACCATACAGAAGGATAAAAAGCCCAGCGCTAGCAATGGCTCACCCAACATCAAGGATCGGCTGCGCTCGTCACCGCGCAAACAGAAACCCGAAACGGACAATGTGGATGGAGAGTCCTCCTCGCCGGATACGAGCCCCACGCGTATTCCCAGCGAGCGTCGTCGCTCGAGCAACATATCCGTGCACACGGAGATCATCATAGATCACACGGCGCCTAAGACGCCTTCGCCCAAGAGCGAGCGCAAGTTGCCGACCAAGGTCCTGGCTAGTCCCGCACGCAAGCTGCCGGTCACAGAGCGCAAGGAATCGGCCCCAGTGCCGCGTGTCACGCGCCGTGACAAGGACAAGGTGACGCGCTCCACCAGTGAGAATGTCATCAAGGTGGTCAACGGAAAGCCAAAACTGACACCCGAGATGAGCACCCTGAACCCGAGCTCGGCGCAGCGTCCCACCGAACGCAATCGACCCAGCAAATGCTTCACCACAAGGACCATCAATCTGAGCGAGCAGCTGATCAACAGCGAGGACATGGAGAATGTCATCATTGATATACAGCATGCGAAGAGCTCGCGGGAACCATCGCCGGATCGCATTGTGCCCACACCGGTGCCCGCCGAGCTAGAGACGGGCAAGCCGCGTTATCCGGATGTTGTGCAGGAGCCGGACGATGAGCCGCGCAAGAAACCGATTGTCACCAACATACCCATCTTTGAGGAGGAGGCCAACGCCTATGTGGGCTGCCAGATCTCAGAGCTGCGCAATCCCAACGGCATCGAGGCGGACATCCATGACAATCCCACCGTGGAGGCGCCCAAGAGCCTGGATTATACCGCCCCCAGCAATGGTCAGCCCGGCATCGATATCGATGAGTGTCTGTTGAGTGTGCACGAGAAGGTCTCCAAGTTTACGCACACCGCCGAGCAAGTGAAGCAGCCGAAGACCTCGACACCCTTTAGCCGGGAGTTCGATGAGCATGCCAAGGTCTCGGCCAGTGATGAGTGCCTGCTGAGCATAGACCAAAAGGTGGATCGTTTTCTGAAGACCGCCGAGAACATAACCAAGCAGCCGTTGACCACGCCCACGCGCGAAATCGAGCGCCCCAACTTTGAGGACATCGACGAGGAGCTGCGCCAGGACGATTGCACGCTGAGCGTCTCGCAGAAGGTGCACAAGTTTATTGACACCGCCGAGAAGCTGGCTCCCAGTGCACCACAGAAGTCGCCTAGACTGGTGGCCAGCATTGAGCGTCACATCTCGCGCCAGAGCGAGCCGGAACTGGAGCAGGAATCGGAGCCGGAACAGCCCTCCGACCTGGAGCCCGAGGAGCCTTTGGAGTCGAACGATGATGAACTGTTGCCCATGTCCAAGCACCACACCACAGCCATCGAGCTGAAGCGTCAAAAGGACATACTCAATCGTCCCTCGGTCTTCGGTCAGCGCAAGCCAGCCACGCCCAAGCAGACACCCGGCAGCAGCAAGCCACGCGGCAGTCCCAGTTCCAGTCCGAGCACCGTGCTTATAACGGAGGAGCGTAAATCCTATCGCCATCAGCAGAGCCCCAGCGCGCGTTCACCTACACGCAGCACCACGGCGCCACGCAAACCTTCGTTGGAGCAACCACGCGGCAAGCCAATCGATGCGGAGCGCAGCACCACCAGCACCACCAAGCGCAGGGAGCACATAACGCAGCAGCAGTGGGTGCTCAGCGATGTGGATGTGGACGTCGAAGAGGTGGGACCCGCGCCCGCCCATCACAGCGCCAGTCCGCAGACAACGACACCCAGCAGTCGCACCACCAACAAGCCAACCACCACACGCAGCAGCACCACTGCATCACGCAAGCCCTCCCTCGAGTCGCCGCGCGGCAAGCCCAGCGACTATGTTAAGCAAACGGAGACCGAGACACGTCGCACCACCAGTACCGCCAGCACCACCAAGCGTGGTGAGCAGTGGTTGCACAGCGATATTGATGTTGATGTCGAGGAGTTTGAGCCCGTTGGTTCACAGCCAACATCACCGGGCAGACGCACCAACACCAAGCCAACCACCACACGCAACAGCACCACTGCACCACGCAAGCCGTCGCTGGAGTCGCCACGCGGCAAGCCCAGCGGCGATTACCTGAAAGAAACGGAGACCGAAAAGCGACGCACCACCAGCACCACCAAGCGTGGAGAGCAGTGGTTGCCCAACGATGTGGATACGCCCAGTCAGAGTCACAGAAACAGCGCCAGTCCGCAGCCCGTATCGCCACAACGCCGCACCGCCAGCCAAAAGCCAGACACCACCAACAGCACCACGAACTCCACCACCAATTCGAAATCCACCGTAGTTAAAGCGAGCACTGAGCACAGCACCACAAAGCATACAACAACAACAACAACAACCCGAACCCATAGTCCAACTAACCACATCCTTGCCAGCTCCCCTGACACTGAACCACACGTTGAACCACTTTTAGAGCGCAGCCGGCCAACCGCCCAAACGTCACCCGGCCGCACCGTTGCCTCGCGGCGCAACATCTTCGAGCAGCAGTCCAGTCCCAGCCCCACCGGCGAGCACAACGGACGCCGACCCTCGTACATGGATCACACGAAGAGCTCCCTGGAGCACATCCGTCGCGACTCGCTGGAGATCAACAAGACGCACTATTCGCGCAAATCCTCCGTGGAGGATGACACCGGACTTGAGCCGCGCAATCCGAATGCAGCGGTAAAGTTTGATGTGCCCAGGCGCGGCTCACGGCCCGATCCGACGCGCACCACCAGCAGCAGCGAGGACATCGAAATTGAGGAAATCTTTGATCTGCAGACACTCGAGCAGCTGCTGGAGACGGTGAGCAGCTACGAGCTGCGCCGCCGCATACGCGCCCAGATACGTTTGATCAAGAAGAACATGATCAATGCGAGCAGCACCACCAGCACCACAACAACTATGACCAGCAAGATCAGCCCCAGTCACAGGCAGCAGCCGGAGCAGCTGCAGCCGCGCAGCGCCAGCTCCACGCCCAGTCGCAGTCCTTTGCTGGCACGACGCACGCCCGAGCGCAGCCACAGTCCGGAGCCAAGGAGCAGCAGTCGCCGCACGGAGCAACCGGACAGCGCCACGGCACATGGCAAGCCGCCAGTGAAGCCACGCGAGCGCAGCGCCAGTCCCGCCCAGACGCGTCGTCGCAGTCCGACGGGCAAGGCCAACATGAACACCACAAGCACTACGACCACAACCACACGCATCACCAGCAAGGGCAAGGCCAACGAGAAGCCCAGTCCCATTTGGGCGGATCGCAGCAAGGTGCTGCGTGCCTCCGGCTCGTCCTCGCCTACGCCCAGAAAGGGCTCCAACTCCAGCAGCATCAGCAGCAGTAGCAAATTGATGCGCACCACCAACACCTCATCCGCCACCAGCACCACCTCCTCCACTACCAACAACAGCAGCAGCAAGCGACGCGAAGAGGACTCGATTACGTCCAGCTATGGCGTTGGACCCACCGATGAGAATGGGCTGCCCCTCTTTGGCATCAGGGCGCTCAAGAAGAAGACACAGCCGACGGCGCCATGTGAGACAAAGCAAGGTGAGTACCAGGTCCAAGATAGAGCGCCAAATCCTGGCTAATCATGCGATTCTATTCGACAGAAGTCACAGGCTATGTCATCGAGGAGCAGTTCTATTCGGATGACAAGTCGCCGCCGCGTCACGAGCGCAAGGAGCTCATCTACTCCAGCAATCCCGCGGAGCTGGCCACGCTGCAGCAGCAGCTGGAGCGCACCAGCCAGCCGGAAGATGGCCAGATTAAGCTGCAGCGCGAACTGAAGCTCATCGATGCCGATGAGCTGCCATTGGCGGCGGCCATTGAGACGGGCACGCGTCGCGGCTCCGTCAAGGAGCTGAGCGAACGTTTCATACAGAAGGAGTCCGCCGGCGACGAGGTGGAGACCGAGGACAGCGAATCGAACGATGTCTGCAGCGTTATCGAAATGGAGACGCCACAGATGCGCCAGAAATCAAGCAGCAGCACCACGCGCACCAGCTCCAGCACCCGATCCTTCCTCAATACCAGCGGCGAGGATCGACTTGTTGGCGGCGTCGACGATGTGCTCGAGCGCATGCGCAATGCCGACAATGGTGAGTGTTGCCGTCCAGCTCCAGCTTCAGCTCCATCAGCAGCTAACCTAATTCTCCTCTCTCCCCCCCTCCCCCACCCCACTAAAAATCTCCCTGTAGTTATGGAACCAGGGGACAGCACGGAGGATCGCGAGGCACGTGCTCTGCTCAATAAATTTCTCGGCGCCAGCGTAATTATGCAGGGCGTCGAGAGCATGTTGCCGGCGGGTCAGCGGCAGGAGAAGCAGCAGCAACAGCTGCCCAGGAGCAACAACAACAGCAACAACGGGAACAGCAACAACAACAACAACAACGGCAGCCAAGCGGTAAGTGTGAGCAACCGCCCCTCCCTCTCAATAAATGCAAGCTAAGCACGCTCTGGTCACGACTAGAAAATACCCTGTACATACATGTTAAGAAACACTGCAAATACTCGAAATTATCTACTTTTGGGAAGGTAAACTAAAGAATACCCTCTAATCAAATTTTGAGAAGACAAACTAGTCACGACTATAAAACATCCTGTACGAGAATTTTTTTAAATCCGTTAAATACTCGTCAAAATTTAAAAATAATTTTAAGCAGGCAAACTGAGCATACTCCAGTCACGACTAGTAAATGCCCTGTAAATAACTTTTGATAAAATTAGAAAAAAATAGCCCCAATATCTTAGTTTAAAGAAAGCAAACTGAGCAAGTTTTAGGCACGACTCAAAAATACCCTTTATTTAAATTTTATGAGATTGGCAAATATATTCACAATTTATGATTTCTATATAATAATACAAGCTCTCTTTGACACGCCGAAAATCAAGTATTTCGAGGCAGAGACTATTTTCGAGCGATATTTCCTATAGCATCTATATACTAATATTGTAATCCTGTGATTTTACGTTTAGTCTCACATGTTGAATATTTAATGGAGCTTCTTTCCGTGGGCTTCCAATGCGTGTGCAAAATCACAGCGAACTAGTAAAGCTTCTTAAATCTGTCAAATATATCAAACACGAACGTTCGTCGCTTTCTTACGAAAAAGAAACTTTCTAAATTTTGGCTTAGATTTAATTAATATGCCAAGTGCATTAAATCGCCGTCTGCCCCAAAAATCTTGCTTGACTTAATGTTGTCAAAGGCTATTTACATATTTGACGTCAACTTGAAAACTGGTTTTGAACAAAAAAAAAAAAAAATGTAAATCAACATTTCACAATTTGCTAGTATTTAAATATATTTTTAGTTACTCTAAAAAGTATTTAGATGTAAAAACTGAATTATTTAATTTAAATTCCTGTTAGAAAAAAAGGACTGCATGCTTCTCAGCTGCAACTACCCAACTGCTGACCTTAATTAACTGTAGGGTATATTAAAAGCTATGTTGAGCCCTTTTTGATGGACAGCCACAAAAAGAATGAAGAAGAAAAAACAGAACCACCAAATGTGCAGTCCCACAGGCCACAGCCCACGTGTGCGATCAGCCATTGTCTATGCGCGCTCTCGCTCTCGCTCTCTCCACTTTCGCCGTTAGCTTTTGCGCTCTGCTTAGCTCTCTGCCGCTGCCGCTACGACGACAGGCGTACTCTCTCTCTCTCTCTCTCTCTCTCTCTCTCCATCATCTACTCACACTGATTCGTATATGCGTGTGTGTGTGCTGCTGCTGCTGCTGCTGCTCTCTTTTAGTGCCGTGTGCGTGATGTGATGCGCGCTTGTGGCCAGGAACGGGAATGAGCCGAACGGTTTGGCCATTGCCATCGACGCTGCCAGCGTCGCTGCCGTCGTCGCCGTCATCGTCATCGTCATCGTCTGTTGGCCATTTCAGTACACACTCAGAGGCGGCATCGATCACTTGTGCGACTTGTGTTCCCGATCAGAAAAAAAAAAGACGAGACGAGACAAGACGAGACGAGACGAGAGGCGAGACCAGAGACGAGGCGTGAGGAGAGGCTAGAGAAAAATTCTCATCTTTAGACGGCAAAGTGCAAAAAAAAATATACAAAAAAAAAAAGAATATCAATAGTAAAAAAAGAAAATAGTCAAGAAAAAAAAAGAAGCAACAGCAGCAGCAGCAAAAAAAAAATAAAAACAACAACAACCAAAGAAGGCAACAAAAGACAAGTTTTTTGTTGTTGTTATTTATGAAGCTTCTTCTTCTACTTCGACTTCTTGTTGTTATGTGCAGTTGAGTTTTTTTTTTTTTTTACAAACGTTGTTGTTTTTATTACGACTATTATTATTATTATTGTTGTTGTTGTTGTAATGCGGTGAACGGTTGCAGTCGAAGCGCGAGTGTTTAACCAACTTTGGTCAAAGCAGCTAACAGAAGAAGAAGCAGCAGCAGCAGCAGCAGCAGCAGCAGTAGCAGAGGCAGCGGCAGAGGCAGCGCGTAAGTGTACGGGGCAACGGCGGGCGACAGGGAGCATGGGAGGCGTGTCTATGGCCAGAGAGATTCATTGGAATTGGCAGCTGTTGAACAAAATTTTCTTCAATATGTTTTTTCCTCAATTCTTTTTTTTTTTTTTTTATTTTGGTTAGTTTCAATTATTTTTAGTGCGCATAATTTGAGGCAAGAATTTGCTGTCACGACACCTCAAAATGCACCTGAAAAGCGAATGTGAACGACAAGCTTTGACTATATAAATATATGCACACACACACACACAAACACACACATCTATACATAAAGATATATATACATACATGTGTATGCATGCAAACGCAAGCATGTCGCAGATACAAGCGGCGACAGCTAAAGATACAGATACAAATTCGGCTAGCAAAAGCCAAAAGCCAAGCATTTGCCCAGCCTGACAAAATGACAAAAAAAAAAAGGAAAAAATAAATAAAAAAAAAAAAAATAGAATCGTATAAAACAAGACAAACTAAATAAAAATAAATAAATAAATTTCAAAGCAAAGGCAGGTGACGCCAAAAGGGGGAGCAGTCAGGCTGGGCATGCAAAGGGGAGTGCGAAGTGGTGTGGACGGGAGAGAGTGTGAGGGGGGGGGGGGGGGGGGAAGCTGCATGAATGAGAGCGCAAGCGTACGGAATATTTCGACAAAAATAGCGCAACGATGGCACTATTTATACGGACGGAACGCTGTCTCGCATTGGAGCGCCCAGTGGCCAGATACAGATACAGCTAAAGATACAGATACAGATACAGATACAGTTAGCGATAGAGCTAAAGATACACACGGCTACAGCTAGAGATACATAGATACAGCTACAAATGGACTGTGCAATGCACTGTGCGTGCGTTTTTTTTTTTTCTTTTTCTGCTTTATTCTATTTATTTTTTATTTATTTAGTTTTTGGTTCATTCTTTCAACTTGTGCACCAAATACCATCCATGCTTTATATATGCAGAGTACCCCAAGTCTCATACAATGCTCAGCATGGTCGGAATGTATCTCAGTCTATAATACTTAGATGCGCGTATCTGCAAGTTGGCATATTTTTCTATTATTGCTTTGAGTAAATGCAAGTTGGCTGCAAAAGTATCTCAAGCAGCTATAAAGTAACATATATCCATTACAGATACAAGTATCTCAAAGTTTCTGCGAATACAAATAACTGCAAGATTGCCAGAAAGTATCTCAGTCTTATTAGGGTAGGAGTTGCTGCAAGTTGGCCACAAACTACTTCATGTCTATCAACTTTACATGTATCTGCAAATTAGCCAGCAAATTGGCTACAAAGTATCTCAGTCAATTCCGAATAGCTGTAGCTAAGCTACCATATGCACATTAGTTATATATCAGCTAATAGTATCTGCAAGTTGGCCAATCAGTTTTTTTCTCAGTCTGTTTAAGATAGAGTATCTTCCAGCTATACTAAAGTACATATCTCACTTATATTTGACTCACAAATATCAACATTTAAGTCAGAAATTATCTCAATCTGTTTTAGATAAAAGTATCTACAAGTAGACTTCACAGTCTTCAGCATAATTTAGATACATCTTTTAGATACAAATGAGGCAGTAAGTAACTCATATTCACTATGGGTTATTATCTATGTATCTAAGATACATTTTAGACACAAATATCTACCAGTAACTTACAAAGTATCTATGTCTCTTATAGATAAAATTATATATCAGTAGCTCAAGAAGTAAAAAAAATATGAAAAATTCTTTGAAGGCTTTTGAAATACTTTCGACAATTATGCAATTCGTTTAAATTGTGGAACATGCCAAGCATGCTTAACCACAAATTAACTAATCCCATGTACTTAGCCAGTCTGAAATACTAAAAAAAAAACAAAACACATTAAATAAATAAATAAAATAAAATAAGATATTGTATAATCTACAAGTCAAAAACTTGTTTGAAGCTGTCAAAGCGACACAATTTTTAGAAAAAGAAATTGGAAAATTTTCAGTTGCAGCTGAAATTTAATTTTGCATATTTGAAATTTATCTGCGCAAGGTCAATTGAATGGCGCTCTTAAAGATACGATAGTCAATAATGAATACGAATTTTTGATTCAAAATTATCAATATAGTTTGCACTTCTGAAAGCTTCAACTTACGAGCGATCACTGTACCTTGAGGAAAGAGTTCTTTATTCTAACCAGACATTTATCTATCTATCTGTAATCCTACTGTCTGTATGTCTATCCAGCTATCTGTCGCTCAATATATCTAGCTATCGACCTATCGATATATCAATATATATATCCATCGATCTATCGATATGTCTATCCATCAATCTATCTATCTGCCTATCGAAATGTCTTTTTATATTGAAATCTCTCTATCTATATACATATAGATATCTATCTATATACCTATGTATTCATCTACGAGTCAGCCTGTTTATCTGTCTGTCCATTTAGCTATCAGTCCATCCACCTATCCTCCATCTATCTATTAAATGATCAGTCCGTCTATCGATCTTTCTACCTATTAATCTATCTCTATATCAGTTTATCTGAATATCATCTATCAGTGAACCTATCTATCTAACTATGCATCCATCTGTCTATCAATTTAACTTTATATCTGTACATCAATCGTCGATTAGTGTAAGGATCTGCCTGAGCTTTATTTATTTGATTTATGTAACTTGATTTATACAACTGAACCAAATTCCAACCGCATAGCTCGCAGAACAACCGAGTTACCTTGGGTTAGCTGCGGCATAATGGAATTACCTGGGTAAGAAATAGGCGAACAGGCTGTTATATGTACTTGCCTCGCTTTATTGCTTTCCCAGGCACTCTTTGGAAATTTTTGGGTATATATTTTTCTTGCATATGAAGGTTAGTTTTGTGGAAAGGTTGAGTCGCACCTGGTTTTTAGCTGCTTGAGGAAATGCTGAGAATGCATTTTTGTGCTCTTTTGTTGTTGTTGTTGTTGTTTTTTATTGGTTCATGGTTCGGTTCCGAACCGGTTTATTAATTGCTTTGCAACTCATTCGAGCGCAACATGTTTAAAATAATATTTTTGCAGCTACTGTTTGGCTGTCGTCGCCTGCCCCGCCGCCCCCCGTACGCCATGACTTCGCTTGTTTTTCTAGAAAAACATAAACAAGAAGAAGCAGCTGTCGAAGAGGAAGAGACAGGCAAAAGCCAGCGCCTGGCGGCAAGTGGTTCGTCTTTGGCTTTGGCTCTGGCTTTGGCTGCGAAGCCGGTTTTTCTTTAGCTGCCCCGGCACGCCCCGCTCTGCCCCGCCCCATGCCCGCTCGCTTAACTGTTAGTTGGCTGCCTTTTTCCCAGCGTGGCAAATCTTTTGCTTTTCTTTACTTCAATTTTTTTTTTATTTTCTGTCGTTTCATAATCGTTGTGCATGTGTGTGTGTGTGTGTGTGTGTTTGTTGTGCCTGCTTCTTCTTTGTCTGCGCTCTTCGCATTTTGCATGTCAAAATTTGCGTTTTCTTCAACATCTTCTGCTTGCTCTTACTCTTCCTCTTCTTGATTTTCATCCATGTGTCTAAAAATATGCAGCAAATGCCAAATTCGCTTTTCATTGTATTTTCATGGATAATTGGAAAATTGAAGGCTTTCGGGTGGGCGTGCTGTCGGTGTGTGCGAGTG